AGGAAGGCTGGGCTCCAGGCCAACCCTGGCAGGTCACTGCTCTGCAAAACGTCATCTCCAGGTACCCCGCACCCTGCCCCTCTGCTACACATCAACACTTCTCACAGGGGAGACAGAAGCACACATACACACACACTTACATAATACATACACACATGTATGCAATACATGTACATATGCACTCATACACATATATATATATACACATACCTACACACATACACACTCATGCGCTCACACACACACACAAACGCTTCTTGCTGGACCTGTCAGGGCCCTTGGGGTACATGTTGCTGGTGGCTGACAGCAGGCAGGAGGGATTCCAGGGACACAGGGCAGCTCAGGAGCACCCTGGAATTCAGGCCACCCAGGCTCTGTATCTGGGATGACGTCAAGCTCCTGGCCACAGGAACCCCAAAGCTGTGAGAAAGGGGTGGATGTGCAAGGATACGGAAAGCAGGACAGATCGGAAGGCAGCACAGAGTGAACAATGAACAGACCAGGAGGCTAAACTGTGTCAGGCTGAACAGCAGGTCAGCTGTGTGCTGCAACAGACACGATCCTGCGGCTGGGGTTGTGCCACAGCAGCCTAAGCCTCCACCTGTGCCACCAGCATCCCACAAGAATATCAGTTCAAGTTCTGGCTGCTCCTCTACTCAGCCAGCTCCCTCTAATGTGCCTTGGTAAGCAGTTGTTCTGAGTACTTAGGCCTCTGCGACCCATAGAGGAGACCTGGACAGAGTTCCAGGCTCGTGGCTTGGCCTAGCTCAGCTCTGGATATTGCAGCCATTCAGAGAGTGAATCAATGAATAGAAGACTCTTTCTCTCTCTCTCTCTCTAATATTATATATATAATATATTATTATATACATATATAAAATATATTATATAATATATTTAATTATATATATTATATATATTATATATTATATATAATATATTATTATATACATATATAAAATATATTATATATATATAATCCTTCTGCCTTTTGAATTAAAGAAAAAAAATAGACTAGGACCCGGTGTGATATCCTAGTGGTTAAATCTTTGCCTTGCATCCACCAGGAAGAATAAAGCCACAATCCTTTTGTGTGCTCTGACGCAGGACTTGGCAGCTTATTCTGCTAAGCAGATGAGCTAAAGATCAGTCCGGAACAAGCTGGACTCACAGCCACAGCCAGCAGCCCCTCCCCTGGACAGCATACCATGGACTGCCTGCAGGAGCCGGGAAGCGGGACGGGATAGGGTCGTAAGCCCACAGCCTGGCATCGGCAGCTCCCTTGTGTATTTTACAGCCAAAGCTGGGGGCCTCCCGTGCTCGCCAGGGTGGAGCTCTGTTGCCCACCAGCAAGCCCCAAGGAAGACTCATTCCAGCAGGACAAAGCTGCCCTTGGCAGGCTCCTTGTCACCCATTCCCCTCTAAATAGCAGCTCCTGCAACCCCTCCCCCATCACCTCCACCTGCAGCCCCGCCCTCTCCTGGTGGTGATGCCCAGCCCCAAATCTTCCTGACCTTGCTTCAACTGAAATGGGTTAAACAGGGGTGAGGAGGTGAGCGTGGCTCTGCTAAGGTTCTCTTCTGCCGCCAGGGGGCAGACGACCATGCCGAAAGTGCCCGGGCGCCTGCTGAGGTCCAGGCACCGGTGGGATCTCATCCTTCAGCTGGGGGATCCTCTTCCCACCCCAGCACTGTGTTCAGATGCTGGAAAAGCTGTCAGACCCTGAGACATCCCTGGTCTATCCATGGAAAGGGGCAATTTACAGTGTTTCCTTTAAAAAAAAAAGCTCCGGGCCTGGCCATGGTAGCCTAATGGCTAAAGTCCTTGCCTTACATACGCTGGGATCCCATATGGGTGCGGGTGTCCTGGCTGTTCCACTTCCCATCCAGCTCCCTGCTTGTGGCCTGCGAAAGCAGTAGAGGATGGCCCAAAGCCTTGGGACTCGCATGGTTCCTGGCTTCGGATTGGCTCAGCTCTGGCCATTGCAGCGACTTGGGGAATGAATCAGCAGGCGTCAGATCTTCCTCTCTGTCTCTCCTCCTCTCTGTAAATCTGACTTTTCAATTGAAATAGATCTTTAAAAATAAACAAATCTTAAAATAAACAAACAGCAATAAAACAAAGCCCACAACAGCCAGGGCTGAGTCGAACCAAAGTCAGGAGCCCAAACTCCATTCAACTTTCCCACAAGGGACCTGAGTTCTTGAACCATCACCCAGTGTCCCCCAGGATATGCATTAGCAAGAAGCTGAAGAGCCGGAATTCCAGCCATGCCCTGTGAGGGGGGCTGCAGGGCGTCCCAAACACTGTCTTAACTGCAGAGACAAACATGGGTTCCATAATGTTTTTTCAAGTTTTTATTTCCCTGGGTACAGAGGGAAGTGCCAACCCCTGGTGCTCCATGAAATTCACATTGAATATATCCCGGAGAAGCCTTCCATGTGGGCAAGGTGGCACCCTCGGGGACTCAGAACCTCACAAAAACATGCCCACAATAGTCTTGCATGATTTGTCACCATTCACACCCATTTCACAGGTTCGGAAACTAAAGCTCCTGGCCCTTCTGCCTCCGCCTCTGTATACCCCTCAGCTTCACTGCCCAGTCACCCGGGTGCCCCACCTGTAAGGCTGTGACTCAGATAGTGACCCCAGACTGACCCCACCATCCTGGACTTGAATGCTGCTAACCCAGTGCTGCTTTAAATCCCCAGGTTTCGGTCCCCTTGAGCACCTGGTCACCCAGCACTACAGTAAACCTTCTAGATCTCAACCCCCTGAAGGCCCACTTGCCTAATTAAGCTTAGTGACCTTCAGGTTCAAGTCGTGTGCCCCACCAGTGCCCTGAGGCATTTCTCCCTGGTGTCTACTCACAGCTGCTTCTGCGGTCCCTGACCTGGCACTCCCCGTACCCACCTCGAGGCTGTAAAGGTGCCTCTTCCCTGCGTTCACTCCCTTTGCTCCTGCTCCCTGCTCTCCCTGCCTCTCAGCTCTGCTCCGCTCTTTGTCTCTCTCTCCTTTCCTCCTGCTCCGCTCTTTATCTGGCTGCCTCTGCTCTGCTCTCACTTTCTCCCTATTCATGCTACTTCCCTTGCTGAAATAAATGCCTCTCGTGTGGCTCACTTGCTGTGTCTGGTGTCTTGGGCTTCTGGAAAAAGCTAATGCCAGCTGCATTGCCATTCTGGTGCCGGAACATGTGGGTGCTGGGCAACACGAGGAACATACTTACTACCAATGCCCAGACTGCCAGCTGCCAGAAGTGGGGACCTCTCGGCCTGCTGTACTGGAAGTTGGGCATGTTACAGGACAGAGATGAGAAGCACAAGGGCACACGGTGAAGGCAGACAGCCCTGCTGCCCAATGAGGCAGTGATGTTTGTCAGAACACCTGGACAGACAGCTGCTTAGTTGGCTTTTGCTAATCACATCACAGTGGGTACAAATGTCAAAACATCACACAGAATTCCTTAAACACAGGCGATTGTATTTCTTGATGATGTCTCAATAAAGTTGGAAAAACAGGGGATATGGCACAGTTGTTTAAATTGTCACCTGTGAGACAGGCATCCCATACAAGTGCCAGATCAAATCCCAGCTGCTCCACTTTTGATCTAGAGCCCTGTGGATGTGCCTGGAAAAGTAGCAGAGGCTGAAAATAAAGCTAATAAATAACGACCCTTCCGAATAAAATTATTTTTAGGGTTTATTTTTTATTTATTTGATAGAGTTACAGAGAAGGAGGGAAACAGGCAAAGATCTTGTATCCACTGGTTCACTCCCCAGCTGGCTGCAACAGGCAGGTCTGGACCAGCCAGAAGCCACAACTCCATTGGCATCTCCCACACTTGGGCCATCTGCCACGGCTTCCCTTCCAGGCACATTAGCAAGGAGTTGGGTCAGAAGAAGAACATTCTGGACTTGAACCAGTGCTCGTATGGGATGCCAGCATTCCTGGTGGCAGCTTAACCCAGATACAGTGCTAGCCTCACAAGTTTAACTATGGAGAAAGAAAAGGACAAGAGGAGGAGGAAACTAGGAAAGAGAATGAGCAAGAGATCTGCGAAGGAGAAAGAGAAAGAAAGGGAAAGTGCAAACAAGGGGAAAAGGAAGACAAACTTACAAAATCCCAGGAAAGGGAGGGTGGAGTGGGCTGGGCTGGGGTAGGTGGGGGTGGGGGTAAGGACAGACTTCGGCCCCAAGGTGCACTGGCTGTGAGACTTACCATGTGCAGGCAGTGGGTTAAGCCCCCTCACATGGATGGCACAAGTCTACATGCCTACAAGGTGAGGACTGATGGTTAATTCCCACCTTTCTGACAAGAAAGCTGACACAGGGAGAGCTTAGCAAACCAGCTAGCATCCTGCGTCCCCGGACACCTGCCAGGCACTTGGAGGGCCATGAGTAAGCCATGGAGAGCAAGGTGGAGTCACTGGCCAGCACTGGGTGACCATCCCAGCGAGGCCCTTCCACAGCTGTCCCTGGCTCTCAGGCAAGGCACTGAACCCCGTCTCTGGCAGCCACAAAGGAGCCCCTCTACTCCGAATCAGGCTTAACCTGTGTCAGGTCCCCACTGACACCTGCCCAGTGCTGGGTGTCCAGCCGCTGCTCATTCACACTCCCATAGGAACACACAACCACACAGGACACACACATATTTAGGAATACATATCACACCCAGGATGCTTACAACCCCAGAAACACACAAAACACACATTCCCACCTGAATACACAACACACACAGGACACACTCCCATTGGAACACACAACACATGCAAGATACACACTCCCATAAGAACAATATATGCAGGACACACACACCCCACAGTCTCTGAAGACCCATGCTCCACAGTGAGGTGTGTGCAGGCCTGCCCTCGAGGAGCAGAGTTGGGCTGGGTGAACTGCCACTGGCCCTCGGGTGCCAGCTGCCAACGGGCAAGTGAGTTGGCCACTGTTGAGCCCCCCTGGGTGTGGATTCAACACCAGACACTGGAGAACCATTTTTTAAACAAAACAATACTTTATTCACGCGTTTTCAACGCTCCGTATAAATATAAAGTGCTAGTTTCCAAGCCCCGCGCACAGGGCTGGGAGGAAGTGGGGAAGAGAGGGTAATTGTCAGAACATGGGAACTTTCTGAGCGCCCACTGGGCAGCCACATTCACCCACATACACGCGACGCACATGCCTGTCCCGTCAGGCACACAACTCGCATCCCAGCCCAAGGCCCCCAGGACAAAGGGGCTCAGGCTCCAGGCCCCCTCACGGGGCGCCCAGTTGTCACAGCTTGTGTTTGGAGCACTCCTGCTTCCAAGGGCTTCAACATGATGGTGGTGAGGCCAGAGTCAGTCCAATTCATTCCTGCCAGGTCGGGGGGAGGCAGGAACACCTCCAAGTCCCTCCCTTGTCCAAGCAGGTGGGCTGGGGGGGAGGGGTAGACAGCCCTCATACTCCAGACAGAACAGCACCAGGTCCCAAAGGCAGTAGCCCACCCCAAAAGGAGGGACACAGTCGGCTTGCCCCAGGCAGGAATCAGCAAGGAGGGCTGGCTTCCTGGGGAGGCGGGCAGGTGCCATGCTTCAGTGACACAACACTTGCGTTTCAAACTGCAGCAGCTGCCCCATGAAGCCGAAGTTGGGGGAGATGACCCCCCGGCGCTGCTTGACAAAGTCGAAGGCTTCTTCCAGTCGCACACGGTGGCTCTGAATGAGGTACGCCAGGCAGATGGTGGCGGAACGTGAGATGCCCGCCTGGCAGTGCACCAGCACGCGGCCTCCGCTGTTCTTCACCGAGTCTGCCAGGGAGACGGGAGTGTTAGCCGGGAAGCAGCTTGGGGAGGGCAGGGGGAGAGACAAGGTACCCCCAAGGCCCCTCCCCCGCTCTCTCTTCAGCCTCACCGATGAAGCCGATGGCCTCCTGGAAGCAGCCACTGATCTCCACCATCTGGTTATCCTCCACCGGGATGCTCTTGTAGCAGAGAAGCCCCTCGAAGTGATTGGGGCAGCTGGCCGAGACGTTGAGCACGGCCGTGATGCCACAGGCCCGCAGCCCCTGCAGGTCAGAGGAGTGGCTGCAGCTGCCCAGGAAGAGATAAGGCAAGATCTCCACAGGACCACCCTGCACAGGGAAGAGGGATAGTGGTGAGACCGGCTTGGCGCGGGGAACTCCCTCGGCCAGCCCTGGCGCCCAAGATTCCACAAAGGCGCGCACGCGCACACACACACACACACACACACACACACACACACACACACACACACACGGGCAGGGAGACAAGCAAAGCAATTCCCGTCTCAGCTAACCTGGTCATACAAAGGGACCCTGGGGTCCGAGCTGTTGTTTTCGGGTCCTGCAGATGGCAGCGCAGGCGCGGGCGCCTCGGTACACAGGTCCGGGCAGCAGGCCTGGAAGCTTTCGAAGCCTCCTGCGGGGAAAGACCAAGGCAGTATTGATTAGCCGGGAGGGAGGGCTAGGCTGCGGCAGGCTCAGAGTTGATGAGGAGGGGGTCCCGGGCGGGCCCAGCATCCTGGACCGGTGCTCACCTCGCAGGAAGCAGACGGCGGTGGACCCGCTGCGGGTCTCGTGCAACAGTGCTGTGAGCAGGACACGGGCCGGGCCGTCGGGCCAGAGCTCTGCCACCGAGGCGCTGCCTTCGTCCAGCACCACGACCCGCGCCAGCTCCCCGCGGGCCAGGCGTGCCCGCAGTGCCCGATCGGGCAGCAGGCAGGCAAGGGCGGCGGCGGGCGGACCCCGCACTCGGCGCCGCAGCAGCGCGTTCCATGGCACGGGCCGAGCGGCGCGCACGTGCCGGCGACAGAAGGCCAGGAAGGGGCGGCAGTCGAGCAACAGTGTGCGCTCCGCTTCCCGCGGTTCCCGCAGCAGCGCGCCCAGCGCCGCGCACTCCAGCTCGTGGGCTGCCTCCAAGGTCATGGCGATCAGTGTCGGGCAGCCCCTTCTTCCTGTCTTCTTTCTCTCGGCCCTCTGCCTGCACCCCACTTGCCTCACGCTCCGGGAGTTCCCAGCTGTCGGCTCTGGGCGCCCTCGCCGGCTCTGGGGCTTAAGTACTCACTGGTCCACCTCCCGGGTCACCATACAAGGGCAAGGCAGGAAGGCGCCGGCTCCCGCCCCCGCGGCCTCACGTGGGACGGAACTGGGCGGGACCCCTGGGGCTCCAGGGGGAGGAAGCCGGGCAGCAGCTCCCATGGCTTGGTGCCCGTCCGCCCCCTCATCTGTGAGCCTCCACAGGGACCAACGCTCGGACCCTCAGTCCTTGGGGGCGCTGCCTCTCCGGGGCGCACTCCCCTGCTGTGGCGGCCCATGGCCCCGTTTACTCTTTGTTATTTCTCTCCCAGGGTTAACCTGACAGGTGCCTGCAGTCTCCAGTTTCCCCTGAACGCTCCCCTCCCCTTACTCACCCCAGGTGGTGAGACCCCTGCCTCCTGTAACACCAGCAGTAAGGGTCTTTTAGCAACAGGTCTTTGGCCAAGCCCAGCCATAACACACACACGTGCGCGCGCCCCCACTCCTGGATCCCCGTCCTTGGACATTATGGGTCTGGGGGCCATGGCGGGTGTAGAGTGGAGGGGGAAGAAAGGACAGGGGTCTGGGATGAGTTTCAAGTTGTCCAGTTAGGAGTAGGGGAGTAGGTAAAGCTGCTTGGGACTGGGACCAGGGAAATCCCCAGGGACCCAGAAGGGAGCATTTCCTCTGTCCCTGCTGCCCCAGCGCTGCTGACGCTGCTGCGGGCTCTCCCTGGGCCTTGCCCCACGGGAATTTCAAGGGGAAGAAGACAGCAGAGGCGCTAACAGAGCGGGCCTCCTCTCCTACTATCTTCCTGGCCATCTGATCCACAAGCTCCCCCTCCTCCCACTAGAGGGACAGCACCGCGTGGGGCAGGGGACCCAGAACAAGTCTTGATGTGGGATGTGGGGAGGCTCAGGTGTGCCCCTGGGTTCAGGTTCAGGTGGTTGGGAGGACCTCCAAGCCCAGCACTCATGCAGCCCCTCCCCACCACACCAGATCCTGGACCACTCTACTGTGGCCTTGGTGAGCCCTTGAGTCTCTGCAGTCTACAGCATCTTAGAGAGCAACAGCTAGGACTTGTGCGGACCACCCCCACCCCTAGGAAATGCACGACTATGCCCACGCAGCTGGTTTTGAGTGGGTGCATGGGATGGATGTAATTTCTCTGCATCTGAGATAGAGCATGGTGCTTGTGTGCCCTGGGAATGCAGAAGAGATGCAGGGGGAAGATGCTCTGAGCACTCCAAAGGCTGACCTGGGGCCACAGCAGCCTCGGTTTCCCCATCTGTAAATGGCAATGAGGATTAACAACCAGAACCACCTGACCTCCGCCGTCCCTCCCTAGCAGGCCAGGCTGGAGGCGGGAAGTCTGGGCCACAGATCCCAGGGCATGATATGGGCTCTTATCCTTGGCATCGGCGCGGCAAATGAGTTAATGGCTGATGCCAGGAGCCAATTACAGAGCCTGCAGCGGGGGAGCCAGGCCCAGTCTTGCTGACCCGTGTGGCCTGCGTCACCTGCTCTACTGGGAATCGCAGCCTTGCAGCTCCCTGAGGAGTGGGAGACCCATTGCAACACCAGCAGTAGGGGTCTTTTAGCAACAGGTCTTTGGCCAAGCCCAGCCATAACACACACACACACACACACACACACACACACACGTGTGTGTGTGCGCGCATGCACCCACTCCTGGATCCCCATCCTTGGACATTGTGGGTCTGGGGGCCCTCCCCTCACACCTGCCACCAACAGCTGGGCTCCCTGAAGCAAGAGTGAAATCAGCTCAGCGAATCAGCTCAGCCCTTTTGTAGGGGGCTCCTGACCCCGGTGTCTCTCACGCTTTGGTCTACTCTAGACAAGGCCTAGCACCTGGCTGGGAAGCTCTGTGTGGGGGTAGCATGCTGGCCCAGGACCAACGATTTCCGCCTGACTCTGTCAGCCCTCTAAATGCCCCGTTCCCAGCTCTGTTGCAAAGGTACTTTGAACCCTGCCTTGGCCATGAAAGAGGGCTGCCTGCCGCCTTTGCCTTCCTCCCTCCCAGGCTGGGGAACCCCCAACCTTCCAGCCTGCATTGAAAGCCCTGGGTAGGGGCATGAAGAAGGAGGAGTAAGAACAGGCCCACATCCCTCCCCCACTTCTGCTCTGACAAAAGATCCCCCAGCCCTTGGGGCGGCTGTCTGTGACTCACAGGGCGGATGTCTGCTCCCTTCACTGCCTACCACCTCCTGTGCCACCAAGGACCCCTGTTTGTCTGCGCCTGGCAGAGAGGAGGCAGGGCACCAAGCTTGGCGTAGACTGGGGAACCCCAGGTGGTAGGCCCAGGGGGAGGACCTCGCTCCTTAGCACCATCACTAAGGGAACCCTTGGACAGGGGCTGCCCACACCTGGAGTGTTTTCTGCCTGAGGATGTGGCGGGAGGGGGGAGCTGGGAGATTGATCTTTGCCTGGCTTGGCCATCCCCGAGCAGAATCTGGCACAGAAGTTTGGGGTTCAGCAGTTTTTGCTTTAATTAAAAACCTGTGAGGTGCCATGGGAGCAAACAACGATTGTGTGTGTTGTTCTTTCTCATAACCGTCTATTTTGACGGCTGCCCGAACGTCACTGCCTCCCGTGCCTGGAGGATTCCCAGTCTTGGCCAGCCCCAGCCGCAAGGCCACCCAACTCCCCCCACCGCCCCAAACACACACACAGACGCAAAGGGCTTCCCTTCCACAGTGGCTGTTTCAAGGCCTCTGCTCTGAGGCTGTGTGGCATTTTTCTTCCTCCTTACAAACCCACGCCCCAGGCAGATGGCGTTGGGAGGGCGAGTGGGGATGTGAGAGACAGGAGGCGTGGGCAGAACAAATGTAGAGGTGAATGTTAGTGGGAGGGCGAGTGGGGGTGTGAGAGACAGGAGGCGTGGGCAGAACAAATGTAGAGGTGAATGTTAGGGGCCACCCCGGACCCCGCCTGAGAAGTGAGTCAGGAGTGACTTCGTGTTTCCTGTGCCCACCCTCTGACGGGGACCCTGGTCTGGTGGCTGCCCCTACAGGCTCCGAGTGGGCTAGAGAAGGTCTCCTTGAGCAATCCAGCACACTTGCATGTCACATGCGTGTGTGAGCATGTACGCTCTGCTGTACCAGTAAGGCCTCCACTCAAGCCCCTGTCCCTGGTGTTGAGTGTGGGGAGCCCTCAACATGCCCGACACTGACCCTACCCCTCTCTGGATGCCCCTCTCCCCATGCCACCGCCCCAGGTCCCCTCTGCTCTATGCACATGCCCATCAATGGGACTGGGACCCAGATGTGCCCCGGTGTGAGGCTGCAGGAGATCTGCATCCCGGGCTTTTCCTTGGGCCCTACCCGCAGCACTCCCATGGTTCCCATGGGAGATGGGGATTCTTGAAGTGAAACAGGTTCCACCGTCATCCTGTGGGCCACACGTGTCTGCAGGTGAGGCCCTGGGAACTGAGAAGGGCTGAGACAGTGGCTGTGGGATAACTGTCGCCAGGGGTAATAGCTAAGCAAGAGGCGAAGGCTTTCAGAAGGATGACCAGATTGTGGGGGGCTCAAGGGCATCCCCTGACAAGAGATGGGGATAATGTGGGGACTGGGGAGAGACCCCAAGGAGCCAGATAATGTTGCTTTCTGCATAACCACATTGGCTACCCATACCATCACCAAAAGCCAGGCCACAAGGCTTACATGGAACACAGCAGGCTAGCCCACTGCTTGGCATGCCCCCATTCTCTAGCTGAGTGCTGATTTGAGTCCTGGCTACTCCACTTCCTGTGAGCTGGGAGCCAGCAGATGACCGCCCTAGTTTATGGGTTCAGGCCACCCCACATGGGACACTTGCACAGAGTTCCAAGCCCTGAGCTTGGCCCCATCCAACCCTGACTATTGTGGCAATACAAGAAATGAAACAACAGATGGAAGACTGATCTAAGTGTGTGTAGACCAGGCCAAGCCCTGGGGCACCACCTGCCTAGCAGGAACGATGTGACAGCTGTGGTGACAATTGAACAATGGGAACTCTGGAGCCATGTGCCCTGGCTCAAACACAGCTGGGCTGTCTGCCTGCTCTGTGACTTTGGGCAAGTGAGTTAGCCTCTCTGTGTGCTTAAGAAGCAGGAGTAATGGCTAGCACTGCACCCGGTGCCTCCCGCAAGTGACTGTGAGCACCCAGGCTGGGGAGCCACATCATTCCCTCTGCCTCATGTACGGGGAGACTCCTGCAGTGGGAAAGTGTCTCCAGCGGCCATCGTGTCTTGGGAGGTGGGGCCTGCTGAGAGATGATGAGCCCAGGCCAGCTGTGAACAGGTTCATCAACCTGGGAGTGAGTTGAAGAGGGCATCTAGCCTCCTTTTCTTCTCTCTTCTGCCTCCCGCCATGGGATGGTGTAGCCAGGAGGTCCTTCATTGCACACCTTGGCTTCATTCTCCAAAATGACAACAGGGCAGCTTGCACCTGCTACGCCCTATCCTGTTCTAAAACCTTTTCAGGACTGAATCCTCCACAAGTCCTCAAAGGCAAGAATGGATGATACCCCAAATACAGAGAGAGGCTAGGTAACTTACCAGTGCTCTCAGAGCTGCACTGTGCCCCCTCCACCCTATTTTTTCCATTGGCCTCCCTTCCTAGCCCACAGCCCCCACTGCCCACAAGGACATCATCTCCCGGCTCAGCGGCGAGCCCACCTTGGTGATGCACAAGGCACTGGGTGTTAGCTACTCCGAGCCTGTTGGGCAGGGCTTGCTGCCCCTCTAGGCTTGAGGACTTGTCCCTGTGCCCCCAACCCAGGGATCCTGGAGGGGGGGGGAGCTGGTTACACAGCAGACTGAAATTCACCATGCTGGACAGGGTCATTATCAGAACGGGGCACTGCCATGCCAGGATACACCCGCCCTCACCTTCCACCGTGACTCAGGTTCCAGCAAAGAAGCCGTGTCTTAGGGTGCAGTTCCACAGCAGAGCCCTCCATCCCCATGCCATTTACAAAAGGAAGTAACATCTGCTGGCCTTGAGGCCCAGCTCTGCCCCTTGCAGCTGCGAGGTGCTAGGCATGATGGAGAGTGGTTCAGGTTCCCTGCCCCCACCCTGGCATAGCACTCATCAGTTTCCAGTTCTTTATTGAGTGCCGGGCTCTGCACAGGCAGGGTGCGCTGGGGCTCCTGCCCACTGGGCTGGCTTTGCTATGAGGCCCCAAGATCGGGCAGTAAATAAGTAAGTGAAGTGACACCCCCCCCCCCAGATAGCAGCAGGAACTGTGAATGATCCCGAGAAAGTGTGAGGGGATGCTTTTGGAAGGAAGCCCAGCGCTGGAGATGCTAGACAGATGCTAGGGGTGAGAGCAGTCCACGACGCAGGGGCCAGCTCCTCTGCGGGACCTGAAGGCCCTGGTGACAGTCTGCTTCCAGGAAAAGCATGACAGAAGGCCAGTGCTGTGGCACAGCCAGTAAAGCTATTGCCTGTGGTGCCAGCATCCCATATGGGCACCAGCTTGAGTCCTGGCTGCTCCACATCCAGCCCAACCCCCTGTTAGTATGCCTGGGAAAACAGCAGAGGATGATCCAAGTGCTTGGGTGCCTGTACTCACGTGGGAAACCCAGAAGTTCCTATTTGTTTTGGGCCAGCCCACCATTGGCTGTTGTGGCTGTATTCGAGAAATGAACCAGCAATGGAAGATCGATCTCTCCAACTCTACTTTTCAAATAAATAAATAGATCTTTCTTAGAAATAACAATAAAGGGGACCCAGTGTGGTAGCCTAGCAGCTAAATCCTTGCCTGGAACATACCAGGATCCCATATAGGCACCGGTTCTAATCCCGGCAGCTCTGCTCCCTACCAGCTCCCTACTTATGACCTGAGAAAGCAATAGAGGATGGCCCAGAGCCTTGGGACCCTGCACCTATATGGGAGACCCAAAAGAAGTTCCTGGATCCTGGCTTCAGATCGGCTCAGCTCTGGCCGTTGTGGTCACTTGGGGAGTGAATCATCAGATGGAAGATCTTCCTCTCTGTCTCTCCTCTTCTCTGTATATCTGACTTTGCATTAAAAATAAGATAAATCTTTATAAATAAATAAATAAATAAAAGCATTATAGGATTGTTAGATGGTTGAGGGGCTCCGGGAGACATCAGGAGGGGACATTAGGATAGTTGTAAATGGAGACATCAGGAGTGAGGCCAGGAACCTCAGGGGACCCTGCACGGTGACGTGGACCCAAGTGACAATGGAATCAAGGCAAGGAGGGCCTGAGCCATCTGGAAGGTGGGCAGGCCATGAGCACGAGCGGCTGGGGAAGGTGGGCCGGGTTTGGGCTGAGCAAAGGGTGGGCAGTTTCCTGAGGAAGGATGGGGCTTGGCCCTTCCCTCCTCTCTGAGACAGGGCTTGGCACCAGCAGAGTGCCACCAGCTGCTGTGCAGCCTCACCTCCCCCCCCCCCCCCCCCCGTTCTACCTCAGGGCTGACGGCGGATTACTCCAGAAGGACGTGGGACCAGAGGGAGGGGCAGAGAGAAGGCCGGGTGAACTGGGAGCTACAGGAGTGGGAGGTGGGGGCTTTATGAGCCAAGCAGGACCTGGAGGTTTGAGGCACAGATGGCTTGGGGGTGGCACCAGACCGGAAGTGCCTGCAGCGGATCAGGGGGGATTGGGGCCGTAAATCGGATTAGGCTCCCTTGGAAGATGACTGCTCCAGGACAGGCCCAGGAGCTGGACCACGCCTGCCCATGCAGTCACCCCATCCCTGACACCCAGACAGGATCCTGTACACGCACAGGTGCACACATACACTGACCTGCACACCTGTTTACCTGTACTCAGACACACAGGGCCTCGCGGTGTGACACAGCTGCCCTGGCAGCAACAGAGCCCTCATCAGCTCCCTGTGGCCCTGCCGCAGCCCCAGTGGCCCCAGGAGCAGTCCCCCTTAGACCCATAGCGTACGCATGCTTCATCAATGCCCCACCCACCATCTGCAGTCCACGGCAGTTCCCAGTTGCTCAGCAGCCCCTAGATACCACCATGCCAGCCAGAGACTACCCACGAGAAGATGGGATATGGCCCTGTCACATCTAAGTCCCCACGTCCACATGTTATGCACAGCATGCCCCTTCCATACATGTTGCAAGCTGGAAGCCACCATCATCAGCTCTGTGGAAGGCTTGCCACCTGGGAAGAGTTTGAGGATGAGGAAGATGAGCTGCATGAGGGACCTTTGCTGGCATAGGGGCGAGGCCTTGCTGGGATCCCACTGACACACCCTAAAAGCCCCTCTTGGGTCTTGCATCAAAAGCCCCTGCCCCAGGGAGGGCCAGCCTCTCCCTGCTTCGTCACCCACCCACTCAGCAGGCCCTCCAGAATTTTGCTCCCCAGGAAGAGATAGCCTCCACCCCATGGTCCCGTATACACTCCCAGGATGAGAGCTGTTGGTCAAACAGGAGGCTGGTTGCTGGGAGCAGAGTGTCTGCTCAGTTTCTACCAGGGCTAAGCAGGATCCAGATTCAGTCTGAGAAAGGATAGTTAGGCAGCCAAAGAGAGCATTTCCAGCAGCCACCAGGAGCCCCTTCCCCTCCACCACCCAGCTTCTGGGCCAGGCAGGGTCGGTGGGAGCAGTCATGACCTTGGCCCAGCCTCCTGCAGCCTCCAGGAGCCAGCCACAGCCAGCACTCCAGCCAGCACTGCTGCCTTGCAAGATCTCCCAGATGAGGGAGGGTGGGAAGCCAGGCTTCTAGGTGTAACCCCAAAGTCCACAATCATTAGTTGGGGGCTCCTCCCTGCTGGCTGCATGCAAGAGGACCCCATAGCATGAGAGGGAGCTGGGACCCTGGGGACACAGAGCTGGGGCTGTCAGGTCTCTTCCTTCTTCTCCACTCTCCTGCTCACTTGTGCTCTGTCCAGGTCCACTTCCTGCCTGGAAGCACCCGGCTCGGCCACAGGGAGGAAAGAGACTAAGCTGTCCATTGAGACAGGCACCCCCTGGTACAGGGCCAATACCTCGCCTGGGGCCTTCAGTGGGGTCCCTGACATGCCCACTTGAAAAGTCTGGGTCAGCGAACACTTCCTCACAAGGAATCCCATATCACCTGATCTCCATGCCTCTGTCCTGGGTAGCAGGAGTCATTCCTCTGCCTACCTGGGACATGCCAGCCCCGGACCACACCTGGCAGCCGGAGGAGGCACCCAGCAACCACTGCCCTCAGCAGCAGCCTGCAGCCAGGTAAACCACAGAGGATGTGAGGAGACTCACAGGAACAGGAACCAAGGCTTCCCCCAATGGGAAGGGGCCCAGGGCGGGGAAAGTCCTTCCCACTTCCTGCCTGATGAGTGCTCACTCCGGTGGACTGAGCCTGCACTAACTGCTCACCCACCCGCAGAAACAGAAATTCCCTACTGTCCCATTTGGCAGATGAACAAACTGAGGCTCAGATTTGCACTGTCATGGTCAGGGCAGAGTATGGAGGCCTGTGCCTTCCTAGCAAGGCCTCTGTCCTGTGGGTGGTGGCCCTGCCTCAGCTGAAACTCCTCCCAAGAGGAAGGGACCAGGCATGCCTGGACCCCCTGCACTGCCACCCACACCTCCAGGCTCCTGACAGCCTCTGACCTGGATTGGAACTCAGTACCCACCCTCCCGTACGCAGTAGGAGCATACAGACAGGGGAGCCCTGGGTACCCACGCAGCAATGCTTGTGAAGTTGCCCATGAGATGGACCACAGCTCATCTTCCAGGGCCTGGGGGACACACTTAACCTTATTCTTGAAAATGTGTTTGGAATGAAGGTAAAAAGCAATGCTTTTCTTCTTGAAGATATATTTATTTCTATTTGAAAGGCAGAGAGGAGAGAGATTGTCAACTGGTTCACTCCCCAAATGGCTGCAATGGCTGGAGCTGGGCCAGTCCAAGGAGCATTAGCAGGTTATTGGGGCAGCGGGGACTCGAATCTGCACTCACAGGATGCCATTCTTGCGAGTGGCAGTGGCTTAAGCCACTCACTGTGCCAAAAATACCAGGCCCAAAGTGAGCTCTTTCGTCACAGTGCTCCCTCTGCCCCCACCTCTTGCTCCCAACAGCCCCTCTGTCTGCAAGACCCTTTTAACAGACTCTGCACCCTCAAGTCCACTTCCAATCCCACCTCCTCCAGGAAGCCTGCCCTGCTGCCATGTGACAACTCAGAGCCCCCAGGGACTGCTGGGCCTGTGGGAGCTACTACACACAGTCTCGGCGGCCTCTGGCCTCACCCAGGGGTTGTCAGCAGCCAGATGATTGAGGCCCAGTGAGGGGAAGTGATCCAGGGTAACAGGGTGGACGGTGGATCTCTTGTCCAGGCTGTCTGGGACCCAGGCGTGGTCACTGCCAGAGTCAAGGTGATGGGTGGTAGCGACAGCCATGATCCCCACTGGGTAGGAGGGACAGGTCTCAGGGGAGCCAGCAGCCCCATTCCCAGCCCTCCCCTCTCCCATCCTCCCCACCAGCACCAGGAAGGAGGGGGCATACTGGCACGTTGACCCCAGGGTTTGGGGGGAATAGATGCAGCAGGTGGCTGAGTAGCCTTTGGGGTCACAGGGGCAGAGCCAGGCAGGGTACTACCCCCCAACATCTGCCATGGGGGCCCTGCTTGCTGCCCTGCAGGGAAGGGGCCCCTCCTAGCCCAGCCCCAGACAGCCCAGGGAAACAGAAACAGCAACAGCAACAGCTTGCACCCGGCTGCGGGGACACCTTCCCTTCCCAGCACAGCCGCAGCTGGAGGGCCCCTGGGTGCTGGGCCGGGCGCGTGTGAGTCATGGAGAAGTAGCTGGAACAGCACTGCCTGGCCCGGCTGTTGAGGGGAAGCAAATGAGCCAGCCTCCGGGAAGACACTTGGGAAACTGCAAGGGGCTGGCCGAGCCCAGGGCACGGAGGAAGAAGACCCACGCGAGGAGAGCAGTCATCCGAATGAACTGTGACTCCCACACGTGTACACATTGCTCAGAAGGCTTTGCAGGACTCTCCTGGCCCTGGAACCCCATAATCAACACACACGCATGCTGGTTCGTGGGGCAAGGGGGTCGCCCTTGTGGGCCCAGCTCCACCTCCCTCTCTTCCATCTTCTGTCCCTACTGAAAGCTCAGGCTCGGAAGTGGGAAGTGGCTGAAACTGAAAAGCTACACAGGCTGACCCAGGCCCTGGTCTCCTGTGCCTGGGGAGGGGCTGCAGAGTTCATGTCCCAGCCCTCACCCCTCAGTCCAGGCATGCTGGGCATGGCAGCATAAGGATGGGGGTACGGATATGGAGCTCAGGAAATAGCTCCACATGCCCCCATCCCAGCCTGGAAGAGATCTGGCACTATTTCAGGCTGGCAGGAGGCTGTACCAAGATGGCCTAGTTTGTGCCAGGGCCAGAACTGCCAGGAAGGAAAGGAAGTGGGAGAGGTGGGCCATGGGAGGGAGGTGTCCACCCTGCTCTTGGCCCCACCCCTGCCACATGCACCCTCAATGAGTTCTCTTGTATCTCTTTACTGAAGTTTTCCCCAGTCCTAGAAGAGCCAGCCCAGAGCTGCTGGCTGCTGGGAGCGCCCAGAACAAGTTTCCAGCCTCAGGCTCTGGGGCCACCAGGGCTGCTCCAGTTCTTTCCACACTCCTCTTCCTCTCTGCTCTGTGTAAACACAGACCCCAAGGTCCCTGCCCCCTCTGCTCTCTGAGGGTTCACCTGGGAACCACAACCTGCTGGAGAGAGGGGAATACATCGGAGTACTTCCGCCATGGCTGCCAGGGTTGAGTGCCTAAGGGACTCCAGCCCCTCTTGCACCTGGCCTTGACCGTCGTCTGGCTCCAGTGATGCTCTGTTCCTGCTTGCTTCTACGGCTCTCCAAGAGGGAATGACTGTGTGGTCCAGGGCAAATGCAGTCACAGCGTCAGGTTCCACACACCTATTGAGGAGCGGCTCCAACACCCTGCACCTTGTCAGCGCTCTGCAGCGGATTCTGGCCTCTTCTCACTGCAACGCCTTGGTCTCTCTGAGGTGCACCTGCTCTATTGCTGCAGGCGCCAGGGGTCTTTACAGTACCTGGGAAATGCAATAATGCACAGACTTCAAGAAAACATTTGCACCAAAATAAACTCCACTCCGCACTGCACTTCCCCACAGGATTTGAAGTATTCTCTTGAACATGACTTGTTCAATGGCAGGTGTTTTTCTGGTGGTCTCGAACTGGAAAGAACAGATAGAACCCCTTCCCTCTCCTCACTGTAACTTCTAGAATGAACTTTTTCAAATTTATTTATTTATCTGAAAGGCAGCGTTACGGGGGCAGGGGGCGGGGAAAAACAGAGAGAGACTTCCAGCCTCTAGTTCATTCTTCAGATGGTCATGGCTGTATCAAGCAGAAACCAGGAGTGTGGGACTCCGTGCTGGTCCCCCATGTGGCTTGCAGGGGCCCAGGCACTTGAGCCATCTTTTGCTGCTTCTGCAGGTACATTAGCAGGGGGCGGGATTAGAATCACAGCAGCTAGGACTGGGACCAGGCCTCACATGATCCCATCCATTGCTTCGCTTCCCAAAGGCTCATGAGAGCAGAGGGGACAGGGTGAGTGACAGACATGGAGAAAGTATACAGAAAAAAACATGACAGATGGAAGACTTTTTAAAGATTTATTTTTCATTTGGAGTTCCATCTAGGTCTCCAGCCACTTGAGCTGTCGCCTACCGCCTCCCAGGGCACCAAGCAGCAGGAAGCTGGAATTTACAGCAGAGGTGGGACTCAAACCGAGGCGCTCTGACACAGGATGTGGGCAACCCAACTGACATCTTAACCCGATGCAACAAGCATCCACCCCTACAAGGTTTTATTTTTGTAATGGACGCTGCCAAACTGGTGTTGATATTCGTCTGAAAGAGAAACCCTGCAAGAAAGAAAAGCCATGTTCTCAAGTTAAGAGTGAAGACACAGTGGGCACCTAGCCTCGCAGTCAAATGCTGACTGAGGTGCCTGCACTCCAGATCAAGAGTATCTGAGGTTGGGTGGGGCTGGTGCAGTGACAGTAAGCAAATCCTCCCTCTGCAGCACCAGCATCCCATTGTGGGTGCTGGTTTGAATCCCAGCTGCTCCACTTCCGATCCAGCTCCCTGCTAATACATCTGGGAAAGCAACAGAAGATGGCCCAAATCCTTGGGTCTCTGTAGTCACATGGGAGTGAACCAACAGATGGAAGATCTCTCTCTCCTCTCTCTGTTTCTCTTTCCCTCTGTGTGACTCTGCCTTTCAACTAAAAATAGATGAAAATATATTTTAAAAATAGTACCTGGGTTGGCCAGGTTGGCCTGGAGAAGAGGGGACAGACATGGAGAAAGTACACAAAAAAAATGACAAATGGAAGATTTTTTAAAGATTTGTTTTATTTTTTATTTGAAAGGCAGAAATGCAAAGGGAAGAAGAGGCAGAGAGATCTTCCATCTGCCGATTCACTCCTCCAATGACCACAGCAGCCAGAGCTGAGCCAATCCGAAGCCAGGAGCCAGGAGCTTCTTCCAGGTCTCCTAAGCAGGTACAGAGTCTCAAGGCTTTGGGCCATCCTCAACTGCTTTCCCAGGCTGCAGGCAGGGAGCTGGGTGGGAAGCAGAGCTGACAGGACAAGAACCAGCACCCATATGGGATCCCAGCGCATGCAAGGCGAGTTTAGCCACTAGGCTACCACGTCAGACCCTGTATCATTATTATTATTATTATTATTATTAAAGAAGACGTGCTGGTGCTATGGCATGTGCGCTAAGAATCCGTCTGCAGTGACAGCATCCCATGTGGGTGCCAGTTCGTGTCCTAGCTTCTACACTTCTGATCTAGCTTCCTATTTGTAGTATGGGAGAGCAGGGAAAGATGTCTTAAGTCCTAGGGTCCCTGTGCTCATGTGAGACCTGGAGGAGGCTCCTGGCTTCAGATTAGCCCAGTTTTGGCAATTATGGCCATTTGGGGAGCAAACCAGCAGATGGAAGCACTATCTCTCTCTGCCTTTCCCCATCTCCTCCTGTAACTTTCAAATTAAGTAAGAGCATTAGACAGAAAAAAAAAAAAAAAAAAAGATGTACAGAGTTACACAGAATAAAGGTCCCAGTGCGGTCTGTCACTTCAGGAAGCGGGAAGGAGAGAAAGATCTCCAGTCTCTGCAAACCTAAGTCCCACAGGGAAAAGCTTCCGGGTGAACCAGCAAGGGAAATCGGTTGAGCCACCAGCAGGCTGATGGTGATGTGGGGGCTGGTGGTTGGGAAGGAAGGGGTCGTGTGTGAGGGGAGGAGCCCCCTGGCTTGCAACAAGGGGCTGTAGGGAGAGGTAGATTTGACAAGGATTGAGAAAAAGGACAGATGAGGCAGGGGCATGGATGCCAGAGAACAGAATCCCAATAATCCCAAGCAGGCCAGGGGACAAGGGAGGGGGTTCAGGGCAGGTGGGCAGAAAGGCAACCAGCAGTCCCCTCGGTGCCCGATGTTGGCTGATTCTGTCTGCGATGGCTCCGACCACCCCTCACCTGCTGTTTCCTGCTCTCCCTTTCTACCTCACCGCCTCCAGGGAGCCTCCCAGGATCTGCAGGATGTGTCTCCCATAGCACCAATTTCCCCTCTGCCACTCACAGGCCTCCTCCTTCACCACCTCTTCCCCAACACTCTCACCACCCCTCCATTGGAGTCAGGAAGTTGGCTTTGGGGGTTTCAGTTTCAAGTGTCCCTCCCATCAGTGTTGGCTAGATGGGGCCAATGGCTCTCCTTCGGCGGAGATTAGAGCCAGGTGAAGGGGTTAGCCCTGGGGGAGCCAGGGCCCCTTGTTAGATTCACCGAGGCTAGTGTCAGAGGCCAACGTCCTGTACCCAGCCACCCATCGCTCTGGGTTGCAGTCCTGCGGGGAGCCAGGCGGGGCTGGGGGCAACCTGGAGGAGGGCAGGATGTGCCCCAGCCCACGCAGCACAGGGTCTGTTTTTCGCTGCTCAGAACACTCCCACCAGGTGGCTTCTCACGGCCTCCCCTCTGCTCACATCCTGTTTCCACTACCGTGTCAGCCGCGGGGAGGCCGCCCCCCACCCGCTGGGTTTTCACACGGCCTTTTCTGGCTTGGTGTGGGCACACATCCCTTTATTTTTAGCTCCTTGGGGGCTGAAGGAACCTACACTCAAGGCTAAAAGGACGGAGACTCCCAAATTGTGTCCAACATGGTCCCTGGGGGCGTGCAGCCTCAGCTTGTGCCCCGAGGGCACAGCTGGGTCAGGGTCAGGAGTCCCTGGAACTCCTGGTTCTCTCACAGGTGCACCCTTGGCGGCACACTGGGCATAAAGGCTGGATAGGAAGACGGGGCAAGTCAGAGCAAGGGGACCCCCCCCCCCTGCATGCCCCGGAAGTAACTGCAGCTCTGGGTTGGGGACACACCCCATGCGGACCCCAGTCCTCCTCCAGCAGCCCTCCCAAGTCTTTGCAGAGCATCCTATGTGGGCACCAGTTCAAGTCCTGGCTGCTCCACTTCCAATCCAGCTCCCTGCTAATGTGCCTGGGGAAAGCCGTTGAGGATGGCCCAAGTTAACCCCCGTGGGAAACCTGGGCAAAGCTCCTGGCTCCTGGCTTGGGACTGACCCAGCCCTGGCCTTTGTGGCCATTTGGGAAGTGAACCAGGGAATGGAAGAGCTCTGTCTCTTGCCCTGCTTCCCTCCATCACTCTCTGTTTCTCCCTCCCCCCTCCCTCTGTGTAACTCTTTCAAATGAATATAATTTTAAAAAATAAATAAGTAAGGACCCAGTGCGGTAGCTTAGTGACTGAAGTTCTCACCTTGCATGCA